TTCTACTACTTCTACTGCTACTGCTTAGTAGTAGTAGTAGTAGTACTACTACTACTACTACTACTATTACTACTACTACTACTACTACTACTACTACTTCTACTACTACTACTACTACTACTACGACGACGACCACTACTACCACCACTACCAGTGCCGCTGAGGTCCGCTATTGTTCCTTTGTAGAGACTTTCTGTTCTGATGTTTAGGAATGGTCAAAGTGCTGATTTTTCTTGCCGACAGTCAATGCGCGTGCTAGCCGTTGGGAGACTTGATTTGAACTGTCGTTGCACCCCGAGGTCTTGGAATCCATGTGCTCATGGACCTGGTGCACGCGCATGCATCCTCCAACACTCTAGATGGGATTGCGCAGATGGATGGCACTGACCACTGCCACCCGGCCATACCTCTCGGTTCTACAATCTTCTCTTTTCGGCCCGATTCCATTTCCTGTTTGTGGATTATCGTGTGTGCTGCCCTACAACGCCACTGGACGACAACAACAACAACAGCACAACCACAGCCGGTCGTAATCCTAGGGCTCAGCAGAAACAATCGCCAGCACCGTTTGGAGCATCATCTTGTCATCGTTGTCCTCATTGCCGTCGTCGTCTTCATTGCCAGCATCAAGCATCTTCGTCACCATGATCACCGCCATCGTCATGGTCGTCTTTAGCAACATCAATCTCTTGATGCCCGACATCACATCAGCATCATTGGCTCCATACCCTTTGAACTGAGAATTCCTCCACATGTTTGTGGCAGCCTGTGCACTCAATCACGACTGCAACCACTGTCACTGTGCATGCAGAAGAGACAGCCAGAAACAGAAACTCATGATCTGACGGCAGCACACCGCCTTAGCCAAGGCTACACACACGGAGGACACCACCTGTGCCTTTTCGCTTCGGTTCACACATGTTCAGGTTTTATGGTTCAGCTTCAAGTCTTAGGGGGCAGGCCCCGGCCCAGGGTTTAAAGTTTTTAAGGCATGTTCCATGTCCTGGAATGCTCTCGTGTCTCTGTTGTATCGTTGATGAACCTTGTTGTTATACTGATTGTACTGACTAGTCTAGTGCCGTCACCTTATATCCCATTGATTATATCTTTTGAGCCTTGTCAAGACAGCGGCGATTCAGAGCATTAGTTACCTCAGACATCCTCGGGATGAGGGGCTGACAAAGTCTGAAGCTTGAGATTTCCCGGGATTGTCAAGTGTCAGTTGTAGAAACGATGGCAAATCTGGAAGCAGGATTTGCAGGGATCCTTCACCGCAGCTGTCATGTCTGCCGCCTATATAACAGGACCGAAAGGACATCACAGCGAATGGGACTCGACACTTGCCTGAACCAGTTGAACGAATATAGAAGCCTGAATGAATCCTGAAGGATTGCCGATGGTGTTCCTGAGGCTTCCTTGTATCTACTCATGCCATAGCATACCCCGAAGGCCCCATTCAGGCCCTACATTAAGTTCTTTCCTTCCTTCCACGCGGTCATACCTAGTTTCGGCGATGCCTAGACGGAACTTGCTCTTCAGCTTGGACTCCTCGTAGAGAGATGAGTAGCCAATGGCCGTGGTTCTGGGGACCTCATTCCATGATAGTAACATCACAACCCAAACCGCCTAAACCCTAAACTCTACCCTTCACGACTTATCTCACGAGCTTTCTTCAAAACTGCCCTCGCAGCTAGAGCAATATAGAGATGGAAATACTTAGCAATACTATCCGGTTGCAATTATACCATAATGTACCCCAAAACCCTGTTCATCTCACTCAAACTCACTTATTTGGCAAAGACGTGCGTGGCAGCCCACCGAGGAAAATTTTCAACTATCTGAAGTACGAGGCTGGCCAGCCGAAGACGTCCACCTCGGCCCCAAACCCCAAGCAAGGGGCATTTTAGTGGAGGTTTGGGGTTTAGGGCTTTTGCAGCGGGTAACCTCTAACCTCAAACGCGTAAACTAAGCCCTGAACCGGTACATTGTAGTCCCTTATACACTTTTAGCCCCTGTTCAGGTGCTTCGTTTCCTTCTGTCCAATGTGAAGTGGTGGCTGGAGGACACACAGAGCTGTTCCAGGTCCCAAATGCTATTTCTCATAGCCGGGAAACATGCCTTCTGCGTCTGCGTCCTCACCAATGCTTAAGCAGCGATAAGGATGTGACGGAGTTTTAATCTGAATCTGATGGTTCGCAGCCACCAGGAGTACAAGTTCGACGGCTTCCGCTTTGATGGGATCACCTCCATGCTCTACCACTCTCATGGTTTCTTGGCAGAATGCATTCCTACTCTTGTAATGCAAGGACTCGAAAAGTACATAGCCAGATTCTCGCCAAGCTGCCGGGTGGATGATGGGCTCGTTGGTGAACTACGTCCCAGTGCACAACTGTACAACATAAACGAATTAAACAGGCGGGGGCGAGTAGCAGGAGAGACATCTGTTGGTTATTTCTGGTTGGTGTTGCATGCTCTGCTGCTTCGCTGCTGCCTGATAAAACGAACGTGTTGCTGACGAGGCTGCGCATCATGTCAGACTGAAGGGCCTGTAATGCCGATGACCCCAGGCATTGGCAAGGGATACACCGGCGGGTACCATGAGTACTTCGGACCAGACGCCGACATTGACAGTCACATCTACCTCATGTTGTCGAACGACCTGATCCACACCGTGGTACTGCCCTCAGGATCATGAAAGTTGACCTGAGGTTTAGCTGCTTAGTGCCCGAACTTTCGGACATTCTTGAGCTTGAAATCCTCGAGCGCTCACAAAGGTGACCACGGGGCTACTTGTAGATCCTGCTCAGAATTCTCCAGACCCGGACACCGGGAGTCGTAGAACTTTGAGCACCTACAGTGGGCCCACAGGATTCTTGAATTAAGTTGCAGAAACCGTAGCATTCACCCTGAGTCCTGACCTCCACCGTGGCATAGAGAAGTGAAGCCTCCGAGCAGCGACGAGCAGCGAGCTGGAGCCTTTCAAGGCAACTTGCTCTCCTGCTGTGGTATCTATCTATCTATCTATCTATCTATCTATATATATATACACGCACAGATACATCCATCCATCCATCCATCCATCCATCCATCCATCCATCCATCCATCCATCCATCCATATATACATACATACATACATACATACATACATACATGTGTATAAAATATATATATATACACATGTGTGTACGTATGTATATATTTGTATATATATATATATGTTTGTTTATTTATTTATTTATAGATAGATAGATAGATAGATATGCACATACTGATTGTGAATGTGACGGAGTGTTTCCACGAGTTAGCTCATCAGCACATGTCGGCTTGTGCCGACATGCTCGGAGCCTCGGAGCATACACTCCAGGTGCCATCCGCTGTCACGGTTGCAGAGGACAAGGGTCCGACGTGATGTGGTATTTTTTGTCTGCCTCGTGGTGCGCATGTGTTCATGGAAGGATGTCAGCGGCATGCCTACCATCGGCCTTCCGGTGGAATATGGTGGTTTCGGCTTCGACTACCGCACCTGTGCTGCAGACAGGGCGCCCAGACCCCCGAGGGTTTCAGCTCTGAGCTACTACCTTTCTTTCGCCATCTTGATCTTAACAAATACTACAGGATGCTTGGAAGCTACACCCTTTATCGCTTCGTGGCAAAATAGAGTCTGCGACGACTGCTCAACCGTGAGCCGTGGCAATCTGACTGGCCGACATCGTGCGACACACCCATCCAAGCGTTAAACTCACAGTTTTCGACATACTGGTAGCATGTCTCCCTCGATGACTAGTGATAGTTGCAGTAGGTAGTAGTAGTGGCAACAGTGGTAGTAGTAGCAGCTGTAGTAGTGGTAGTGGTGCTGGTGCTGGTGCTGCTGCTGCTGCTGGTGCTGCTGGTGCTGCTGCTGCTGCTGCTGCTGCTTCTTCTGGTGGTCATTTCGAGATACTTGTTTTACATGGATTCAGCCTCTTCGAGGCTCAGGGAAGATAGTAAGTAGATTTCAGGTGAGGTTAGCACTGGACTAGATACCCGAAACGATTGCTGTTGACTCCACATAGACCAGACAAGTCCAACGACCTTCCGAACGGAGAGGCCTTGCCATGGCCATCCCAGATATGTTCATCAAGCTGCTGAAGGAGAGTTGATGGCTTGGGCTTGAAGCTGGGGGTCCGGGTTGGGGGTTGAGGGAGTTCGGTTTCTGAATGGTCCAGCTCTGGGGGGGTTACGTCGAACCTCGATGCCATTATGATTGTGACGACTTTCTGGAAAACAACGAAATACAAGCCAGCAAGAGTCAAAAGAAAACTGCCAAGCCATCAGTCAGAAAAGCTTTGTCGACTGCTGTCCTGGAATCAGATCGCGGCTCAATGATGTGGGAAAGCTCCTGCACCGATGCGGACATGTGATGCGTGGCTTCACGCTCACTTGGAATCGTGAAGTCGATCTCGCCTTCCTCGTGCATTTGTTCGCCCACCCTTGGAGGTGATTGTTGACACACAGTCTCGAGCCAGAAACAGGTCCACTCGGGCACAATTGCTCCGTGGTCAGGCTTTAAGCAAATTTCACCGCAAGTTAGCAGACAAGCGAGTCGACATTGTTTAGTCGCAAGTCTAGTCCTAGTCTAGGAGAAGCAATTCCAGGCGGGTCTTCATCCAGCACGAGCCAGGGTTGTGTCTACGCGCCGACACGCCATCAATTACAACAGTGTTCAACATCCAAGTTAATGCTCTGAGCTGCTGGTCGTTAAAGCCCGCCCTCTTGCGGCGTGGGATGTCCGCACGTTGAGGGTTCCTGTGAATTGATTCATGTGCGTTGGGTATCGCGTCGTAGGTCGAAGTTGGTGTAAACATCATTGGAGCAGGAAGTCGGTGATGATGGATGGGACATGGGGCACATCTGCTACACGATCCTCGGCCGCTTTATGTATAGTTGTGCAGATCGCTGTCACCGGCATGGGCCAGTCCCTGCACGTTTCAACGATGCAATCAGATCTGTCGCTGATAGTCATAGCCACTGCCTCGACTGTGGCAGGCAGGTCCTTGTCAATGCTCCTGTTTTTGGTCTTCCGACATGTTTGCAAAAAGAACAACAGCTGAGGCTGACAAACCGGCGACACCTGGAGAAGGCGAGTTTGAGCATGTACTGTAGTGTGCAGAGTGAAGTGAGAGTCATGAGGTGGTCGCCTACGCCGAGTCCCACGACCAAGCCATTGCCACAAGCTGAGACGGAGCAACTGCCATCGGCAGTGCAGAGTGCAACTGTGTACCTTATGTACGATGTACGGATATACGTCTGTGTACACGCGAGACTCTGCTGCTGCACATGTACTCTTGGCACTCCACCAAGGACTGTAAGACCCAGCACCCGGATCACCCATTGTGTCATCGAATGATCTGAAACCACACGCTCCCAGCGGGCGAGATATCAGCGTGCCATGTGTACAGAATGCCTGTTAGACCGATTCCTCGAAACCAAAAGTAGATGAGAGCTTCAGAGGACAAGCGATCTTAGCGTAGAATTCTCGAAACAGACGATCCTCGGATATCCTCGAAGAAACGAGGCTCCTTACTTGGAGAGACCCGCAGATGTGGATGAGTCTGTGCTTGAAGCCCCTGTGTGTCTGTTGGACAAGCACAGGAGAGACGAGGGCCGCGAAGAGTCACGCCGTAGGCCTATGACAGGTAACATAATGGAGATATTGCATATTATGATTGCTTAAAGCCCAAAAAAAGAGGTATCTACGACCAACCCTGTATGTAGATTCCCCCATGAACCTTCCAGCAGCTGGAGTCTTCCAATCCATGTTCCGTAGCCTTGCACGAGGTTGGTGACAAGACCATTGCATTCTGGCTCATGGATGCTGCAATGTACACGGACATGAGCCGCCTGACCACATTCATGGTTTCATGTTGTCGTGTATCAGTTTGTTTTGTCGACTTGTGCTGCTGCTGCTGTTGTTACTAGCACTGACTACATACTGTCACTACTGTCTCCATGATCATAACTTGTCCGGTGTTTTGCAGTTATTCCTCTTGCTTGTGTTTTCGCTGCTGCACACACAACCCGAGAACGCTGCAACAACAACAGGACAGCAGCAGCAGTTTGGAGAACTCGCTGCCGAGCTGGGCTCTTCTCGGGTCGTTGTCTCTGGCGCTCCGAAACGACCCACTGTTTGTAGTGGCTGAGCACCTCACTGTCATCGTGGCATTGTTGCCAGCATGGACTGTCATTGCTTTAAGTTTTAAGCCGTAACTGTTTGCACAGGCACAGTTAATGTTTACCGGTCTTTGTCAGCGTTTGGCTGGTGCGATCATCATTTCACTGTTGTCATTGTGTACTTCCATTGGTCATGTCAGGCATCTTTCAGAATCCGCACCACACCATGGCGGTGGATCGGGGCCTGGCACTGCACCTTGGGGCGCGGTTGGACAGCTGGGCAGATTGTCTAGGGTGCAGGGTGATTTGCAGTAGGTCTTGTTCAATCGAATCGCTCCAGCTGTAGATACCTCTCGGCCCATTCCTGTTGCATGCTCTTGCATCTGAAAGACGGCATAGAGGCCAGGACCTGGAAGGCAGCGGTCGGTTTGGTCGCACCCTCGATACCGATCTTAGTTGTAGTGGGCCTTGGTCAGGCCTTGGTGTGCAGGATTCTGCTGCTAGGTGGCTTTTGCCTTAGTCTTCTTCTCATGTCAGGCACAAGATGATCCGCCTTCTTGTGCAAGGTCTTGGAGGCAAGCGGTTTAAGTAAAACCAAAGCGTTTGTTGAAGCTGTCAGACTTGCTGCTTGAAGGCATCGTGAATGCAGCTTGTAGTAATTGCGATGCTGCAACTCTTATAGCCGTGAGGTTTGCACATCCAGGTTGATATGAATTTATCGTTTCCTCAGGCACTCGAGCCGCAGCATTTAACTGTACTTTGTGGTGCTGAAAGCTGCTGCGTGTTATCTTGCTACGTCTTGGAGTGGAAGTTGATGGCATTGATGTGGATGATATTTCTCGCAATGCCAATGTCCATCATGTTCATGACGGTGGTATGATATTGATACGCATGACGACGATGATTATTATGCGTTGGTGGTGATTATGCTGCGCAAGTTATTGAGAATGAAGAAGTGAGGTTGGTGCTTCTTCTGCTGCCGATGATAAGAAAATGCTGAGGATGTCGATGTTGATGATGATATTCATGACGATGACGATCATGCCGACGATGCTGAAGTTGGAAGCGAACACTAATTTATCACGTCGGTCATATCATTATGATGCGAAGACGATGGTCAAGATGCGATTTGTTATGATGGTGCTTTCGTGGTGCAGCGAACAGGTGAGGGCTACCTCAATTTCATGGGAAACGAGCTGCTGGGCAATGCAGAGCACGGACAGAGCATGTTTGTTCAGTTTGCGCTGGGTATTTCGACTCTAGCAAGACCGCGTTCCTGCTCCTGTTTCATCTTGACCTGATGGGTTCTCACCATAGGCCGTGCTGCACGTGAGCACCTCGAAACCCTGAGCCTCGAACAACGTAAGAGTGGCCGATGGCAGTCCTGAGCTTCAGGGGGGCTGCCTGCAGGGAGTGCTGAGCCAATATCATGTTCTTCCAGATCACCCATCATCAGCACCATCATCATCGTCACCAGCAACTACTCCTGAGACTCAGATCCGCAGTCAGAGCCGGTCTGAAAACCTTCGAGCAGGCAGTGCTAACACACACCTATCTGGTATTCGGGCTCCTCTGCATCGCAAGCCCTGAGCTCAAGGCCTTACCCAGCAATAAACACCACAAACCTCAATTTTCAAAATCCCACGTGCCAGAACACAGTCGCCTATAAACCTTTCACTTATAGCCCCTGGAGCCAAAGCCTGACACCCCAAAGCTGCAGAAACGCAGCCCTCAGTCCTGTCTCCGAGGTTCGGCCACCCAGAGTGGGTCGACTTCCCCCGCCCTGAGAACGGCTGGAGCCACCACCACTGCAGGCTGGGCTTGGTGTCTTAAAAGGGCTAATTTTTGTTTCTTTGTCGAGATTCGGTTCCATGTGTGTGACTTTGGGGTTCAGGGTGTTCCTTAGAGATTTACGGCTAAAGGCTAAAGGTTTCAGAATTTTCAGGGATTAGTTTTTTCAGTTGGCTTAGCGAAATGATGAGTGTAGGTGTCTCTCGGCCAGGATGACGAGATTGTGAACATCATGACCATTACTGTTGGTAGTGCATTTGTTCCATGTGCCGTGTTTCGTAACAACCAACAGGATGTCACTGCGAATTCTGATGCCGGTATTACTCTCTTGGGGTTTGTCAACATGGTTTCATAACATCCTGTACCGTTGATACTATAACTCTCGATAGAGACCGCATTCTGTAAATCAACAGGCCCAGGCCGTTGAAGTTTGGAGCGGTGTTGTCCTGCCGGTTTTCAAGCTCTCTGACCGTGTTGTGTTACTAGTAGAAGGGTGCAGGGTGGCCTGCCCTTTCGCTCGCAAACTCTCATCTTAACAGGCTGTCAGAGATTCAGCGGCTGTAACGGGGAGGCCTGGAGGACTCGATCTTGAATCCCTCGACATGCAAGCTCGAATGTTAGAGCCTCTGGGCAGGCGCCGCTTTGACCTGCCGGAGGACGACCTGCTTCGGCGTCTTCGCCTACACTGGCGAAAGCTGAGATGTAGGGGGTGTGAAAACTGGAGATTTCGAGGAATGTGCATTTGGCAGTTTTGATGCTTGGGCTTCAGGTTCTGATTAGGCTACACGACCTCGCAGAGTTTGCATGGGGCGGCATGCAATCGTGCCCACTTGCTAGAGGTTTGATATTTTCATGGTACAGTCCGCAGACTTGTTTCGTTTGTAGCATTAGCCTGGCCAGCGCTTTCTCTCTCTCTCTCTCTCTCTCTCTCTTTCTCTCTCTCTGTCTCTCTCTCTCTCTGTCTCTCTCTCTCTCTCTCTCTCTCTCTCTGTCTGTCTCTCTATGTGTACACTACGTGCATTCGCGTGCGCGTATAGTATAGACACAACATACACATGTGTATATGTTTATGATATTTAGTGTATAATGTTAGCTGATGTGCTTGGTGATGTTTACGTGTTTCCACGCACCTACATGCACACGAAGGTCAATATGTATGTTTGCACAAGTTTATGTATACACATGCATATATATATATGTATATATATATAACAGGTTCAAGAACCATATATCTACATATGTATATGTATAAACATACATACATACATGATGTGCATGTAGATATAACAGATAGTTAGATAGATATATATATATATATAGATAGGTAGGTAGGTAGGTAGGTAGGTAGGTAGGTAGATCGATAGAGTGATACGTGCACATTCATGTATATGTATATACATATGTGTATACATACGCACATACATGTACATACATACATACATACAGACAGACAGACAGACATACACATACACATGCACATACACATGCACATACCTACACATACACATACACGTACATACATGCATGCATGCATGCATTCATGCTTACATACATACATACTTACTTACTTACTTACTTACTTACTTACTCACTTACATACTTACTTACTTACATACCTACATACTAACATACGTATATACATACATACGTACATACATGCGGCATCCGCATGTGCTGAAGGATATGTTCTCAGGTACAAGTTCTTCCAGAACTTCGATGAACTGATGAATGCGCTTGAGAACCGCTTCCAGTTCTTATCTTCAGGGCATCAGCCGCTTGGTTTCGATTGACTCTATCTCCGTATGCCGGGCGGTGCGAGCCTGACACTCGGCTCCTGCCAAAGCATGGTTGTCAGAGCCTGACGCAACAAATAACTAATGTACCTGACGGTCGGCAGTCGCTCATGCATATCTCTCTCACCGAGGTACGTCACCCTGAAGCACAGTGAGGACAAGCTGATTGTCTTTGAGCGAGGAGACTTGCTGTTCATTTTCAACTTCCACCCATGCAACAGCCTCTCGTCTGCGCTTTCAGAAGCCAATGGGGTCGACACTGAACTTGACTTAGCTCGCCCTTGGCGACATAGGGATATGTTGCGGCAGTCTTCTCGGAAACAGCAACGATTGTAAGGTTCTCCCCCACTCCTTATCAGGGCCACACACCCTTGCATCTGGCTTGTGAGAGGCTACGATGGCTACCAGCTCGGCTGCTGCTGGAATGAACCTATGCGAACTGTCTTGGACACTGATGAGGCACGAACAAGTTTTCAACTTTCCGTGCTGGATGAGGTAGATAGCCTCATTGAGTCGAGCGAGTAGCCCTATGAGAGACTCCCTGTTCGACCCTTCCACAGTTTCCCTGCAAGCTCTGTTCGAGCCTTAAATCTACGGCTAAGCTGCATGGGATTGCGGAATGCGTCCCCCTGACGGCTTGAGATTTCACTGCGGCCCAGTCGATGTTGTTTCTCTTGCAGGGACAGTCATATACCATAGTATAATGTAATCTAACACATGTTTTAATTGTATACTAACATGGTATACTAGAGTATAGTACAGTATAGCATAGCATAGGATAGCATAGTATAGAATAATTTAGTATTGTACAGCATCGTGTAGTATAGTATAATATAGTATTGTATAGTAAAGTATAGTACAGTATAGTAATTATGACATAGCATGACATAGCGATGCGGTGGGCCATAGAATAGCGTAATATAGCACACTAAGATGTTGTTGTATATCTGCCTTCGGAAAATGCTGGTGTCCTTGTCAGGGCCGCTTTGGAGGACACCAGCGCCTCGAGTACGGACACGCAAATCCCTTCCCCCCGATGCCCGGACCTGAGATCAGAAGCTCAGAATAGACTACAGTAGATCACATTTTTTTTGCCAGGCATGTTATAATTATCGTATAGTTGACTCAGGGAGCTGTGGTTGCGGATTAATGTTTTAGGGCTTGGGGGTTTCTTGCTGCTTCTCGCCGAGCAGAAGAAGTTGCCCAGGCACGGCATGCACAGCCGCAATCACTCGGCCTGAGCCCAAAATTCCCAGCTTACTTTTGCTTTAGGCTTGTCTTCGTATGATTGGGACAGGGTCTGGTGATTTTGCGGTTGATATTACGATGTTTTGGTCAGCCCCTGCGACTGCTTGACTTGTTCCTGTATTCTGTGACGGACTGGATGTGTCAGAGCCAGAGAAGTCTGAGGTGAAGCTGTACGTCCCATCAAGAACCGCACAGGTGGGGAGTTTTCCCAAGTTTGCGGACCGGAGGATTCCAAACCCACAGGATGCAGACATTAGTCAGATGGACTTACCTCTCCCACTTTGGAGTGTAGCAGGGGCAGCATTTTGGCCCGTGCCGAGATTACAAGGGTTCTACACTGTCTACAGTGATTCCAAAATCCCTTTTAATCTGAGCTGTTGAGGCTTCTTCAGGCATTGAAGCTTCAACCTAGTATGTCAGTATGTCGGACAATGTAGGAAGGGTCCGCAGCAACAAGATCTAAATTACTCTAACACGAGTCCTGTTGAAGCGGACCACCTGCAAGCCGGAAGCCCTGAAACCGAAGTGATGGCTTCTGAATTGAGAGGTAACTTAAACTTAGGTTAAGTTTTCAGGGTTAAGGGTGTTAGGATGTACGCGGTTCACCGGTAGCTGTAGCTGTTGTAGTCACCACTGCTCTGCCAAGTTTCTGAATTTTTCGGACTTCTGCCTCCTCCGGCCTGGATCCTTCAGGGCTTCTTAGCAACCTTCGCTTAGAATGTATTCCAAAAACCCCATTAATTCGGAAGGCCCCTACAGTAACGCCCTTAAAGAACCCTAGTAAAGAACCCTTTAAGGAGCCCGTAAAGGAACTCTTTAAAAGAACCTCTCCTACCTGTAGTTGTTAAGGTCCGCTTCAGCCCCGCAAGATGTAATATGCCTGTCTCAAGTCGAAGTTAGAGCTCTGATCATCCCATTACACTTATGCTATACCATACTATAGTCTATAGTGCACTAGATTACATTATACTATGGTAGATGACTGTCCCTAGACCAGGGTTTATCAGGTTTGGGGTTTAAGCCTAACTGCCTGGGTCCGGAAGTAGGGTTTAAGCCTAGCACGTGGTCTAGGGTTTAGGTTCTCTATAGATCTGAATCCCTGTGGTACTGAAGTCCTTCCCACTATGAGCATATGCAGATGTCCGGAGGTCTTGGTGCGAGACAGCCTGGTGCAAGGCTGTTCAGAGGATTTCCTACTGGGGTGACTTCAGACGCACCGGCTGTAGAAATCCCTCTGCCAACGCCCATCCCAGAAGCAAGGAAGAAGATGGATCATCTTACGTAGCATGGACTGGAAACCATGGAGTCTAGCGTTCAGGCTTGATATAGGTGTCAGTTCAAGAGTTTGGGTACTTGGGCATGGCGGCAAGGGGCGTTTCAGGAAGCTCGAAATTTCTTATGACAAACTATCCGCACACGCTTCCGACTGTTATCGCTATACCAGATGTTCATGGGTGCTGCCGCTTCGTAATCCCTGCGACTGGCTGCCGGAGTCGCTAGAGTTCCGTCGTGCTTAGGGACTGCAGGGAATGAGGCATGTGTAAGTTCGCATGTGACACATTAAACATTACACCTCTACCGTTCTGTTGTTGCATATGCTTAGAATGTATGTATGATGTCAAACATGAAGCAATCTACGTGCAGCATGCATCCCACAGCAAACATTATTTGAAAACTGACAGGAAGTAACCATAAACCGCAACTTATAGTATGGCATAGCAGAAGGGAGCATAGAATGGACTGCAGCGAGTTGCTCTGCCAGGTTTGAGCAAATCCAAGCGGTGTGATACTGCACCGCAGAGTATATCATAGTACTTGTAGTAGTACTGCTTAGCAGTATTTGACAAGACGCCATAAAATACAAGCATAGGTAAGCCTCGGTACGCACGTTCCACAGGGTGTAACAATATGTACGCACACACGCTTATACATGTGTATGCATATGTATATATATATATATATGTGTGTGTGTTTGTCGATTTTGCGTTATTCTTTATCTATGTGTTCACTTATTCGTATTCACGTGTGTGTGTATATATACACACACAGCCAAATACACATACCTGCGCACATGCGTATATCGTAGTCGCGACTGTCGTTATCGTCAACTGCCATCGCCATCGTATCCGCCATCGTCGTCTTTGATGATATTTATGATGATACTTTATAAGCAATCACAACATGTAACATGGATGCGACAGCTGTGCCTGATATTGCTCGTGAAAGAAATTTAATTAGCCAGATTTGTCAATCGGTGCTTGATCATTGCTTTATGCGTGTCATCCTGGAGCGACTTTCCTGACGGCGAGAGGTGGTGTCAAGATCTATGTTGATGCGTCATTCCTTGAAGCCAACTGCTTGGACAGTCCCGCCCGGGGCTTGGTGGCGCCAAGGGCAGGGCTCAACACTACGTCCATTGACCGCTGCAGATCATGGTTGACCGTGTGATCGCCTTGATACCTGAAGCTTTAACATAAAAAGCCCGCGAACTCTTAAAGTACAGAACAGTACAAGGCCACTCACCTTCATGCAACAGTGTCCTCCGAGGCCGGCATGCAAATCGCGCTCCAGGTATGGAAGGACGGCAAGGAGGCCAGCTGCTGTGTTTATGAAGTGGGAGCTTTGGGTCTCTGGTGCGGTGGCATGTTTTCCAGGCCTTTTTTTTATACTATGGTTGCTGTTAGGCGTATGTAGGTATTGGCTGTGTGGCTTAGCGATTCGCAAGTCGGTGCTACGAGCTTTGCATCCATTTCTTTCGGTTGAGGTCCAGGGCGATGCTGGCTGTGTACAGGTTGTATAGCTTGGCATCTTATTGTCTCGGGTGCATTGACTTATAAGATTTCTATTTGGTGCTAAGGCGGCGGGTTCTCTAGATGGTTTATGTGTTTCGACTAGTAGGGAAAGTTAGGCTGGAGACAGCATTGTCAACTTCTGACTTCAGACCCGAGACTGAACTTAAAGTCCTCAGCCGCCATTCGTCAACCCGGTCTGGTCACTTGCAGAAACTCGAAATCTAGCGCCTGAGTCGGAAGTTCTCCCTCTAAAGCCCAAGTGCCGAGGAGACGATGGACTTCGCGTTCAACTCCGAGGGCTGCGTAGCACTCCGGCCTGCGATCACCGTAACCCTTGAGAACATGAGACGATCATGCTGGCGACTGCGGTGAGTACATAGGTTATATATAGCAACACTAACCCTACACCCTATAAGCCCTGAACCCTAATCATGAAACAGATAGCCTTCTCGTTCATGCGGACGTAGTTGGTCAAATCGGAGCCAAACTCTGAAGCGGGGAGGTGTGTGGCTTGTTTCTCTTTGGAGGCAGTCTTCTTCATGAGGTATGCTGTCAGCCGGTTCAGGTCTCAGTTTGTAATACCTGACATGTTGGGAACACCCGAACAAACATTGCCCCAATAGTCAGAACCCCCAAGCAACAAACAAAAAAGAGTGACAAAGCAAACCCTGGCAACTCAGGAGCTGGCTCTCGACTTCGCCGCCACCTTCCAGGCGATCCCTACCGGGGCAGGGGGTTATAGGGTTTAGGATTTCAGCATTGAGAGCTGTAGCCGGGTACTTTCCGCTTCTTTCACGGCACATGGGACCTGTCGAGGCGCCTGAGTTGCTGCGCGGCTCGTAAGTTCTTAAGGGTCTTAGTGTTTTCGGGTGGAAGCATATGAATTATAGGCTGGAATGCGGGGATGCCGCATTCTTGCAGAGTAGATGCTCCGTTTCTTGTTGAAGGGCTGTCTGTTCAGGCCAAGCAAGAAGGGAAGCAACAGTGGCAAGAACTCCGGTTATGATCAGTAGTTGGAAGTAGCAATGCTCCTCCTCGCCGTCGAGAACATACGTTTCCACGGTTGAAGGAGAGGCCAGAAGAGAGTGCAAAGTGCAGGTTCTCCGTGCGGACGGCGAGGTGCCAGGGGGCTGGCGGTTTCTCTCTTCTTGGAGGAGGTTTGTGTTGTGACTTCGGCGTTGACCTATTGTGGCTCTTTGTCGGGAACTTTGGAATTTGAGAGTTCTTGAACACCACCTGACCAGAGATCCGGCATGGAGGAGCACGTGGAGGATGCTCTTGGTGTCCGTTATCTTTCTTCGCGAACCCCGCACGCGGACAGGATAAGTCTCAACGCGCCTATACCCCCGGTGCGCCGATCAAGACCCGAACCGTCTAGTCGGACGGGGAGAGTTAGGGTGGCACGGCTGCGACACCTGAGCAAGGCCCGTGTCCATAATTTGGGGGGGGGGGGATTTAGATTAATGTAAATTTTCTGTGGATACGAATCCCGTCCAGTCAGTCAGATAAAGACAACACCAAGCAAGCAAGCTCATGGAGATGTAACTACATATGTTTTGCTGAGACCTTGGGCAGGCTTTGTTGTTAATCATATCGGCACATGCATGCAGCATGCATATGTGTGCGTGTTATGTGTGTACGTGCAATTATTTATTGTACACACATGCAGTCACATGCATACATATTCCGCATGCATGCATGTACATGCACGCACAGACACACCGATGAATCTCTGTGTAGGTGCACGTGTGCATGCAGGTCGGGAGGTAGACTGACATTCAGATAGCTACACAGCCAGCCCTCGTTCCCTCTGCGACTTTCTTCGGTCTCTCTCCCTGTCTCTCTTTCTCTTTTCTTTGTCATTCTCAGCCCTTGGCTCTCGGTGATCTGTTTTGAAATTTGTCGAACTCTGAGAAAATGTCACGCGCTGCGCCGCTGTGCGCCGCTGTCGAAACATACACAACGTGGATGCTATCTGTGTAGCTAACACTCCGTGTGCTTGAACCCAAACATCAACTTTCACTTCTGTTCTACGCCTAGCCCGGATACGAAGCTCTAAACCCCAAGCTCCTGCTGAAATAGCTGAGCAAGTCATGTGCAGTCGTGCGCAGGAGCTTCCTTGCAAGGCGTCCAAGGATGGCTTCTACCGAGTTGCAGAGCGGTCAATGGGGGTTTGGGTGTGGGCTTACAGGGTCCGTTCACTTCGTGGTTGCTGAATCTCGAACAAAGGTGTTCAAGCTAGGATGGAGTTGTGGAGATGTGCTCGGTATTGCAAAGCTACAAACTGATTGCACGAACTTGGAGATGAAAGCTGTGGCGGCTGCAGGGTTTGGCATTTAGGTGATATCGTCCAGTCGATTTTGCCGTCGAACCACTGAGGTTTATTTCCCTGGTGACTACGCCGTGGCTGGTCGAAGCCTGAAAAATCCAGGGCAGTCAGAAAGAACAGAGAGCTCCTGTGCTCCAAGATGTCACCACACCCGTGCCTTGAACACTTTAGCCGAGGCCTCGGCTACATCAAGAACGGCAAAGGATCGCTTCCGGCTGTCTCCCCTGCCCCAGGCCTCCAACCAATATTGAAGCTTGAAGCTAGGAAATGTAGTATAGTATAATATAATACATTGATGATACAAACAGGTATAACGGTATAATATTAGTAAAATCAAAGGCCTGCAGATCCATCGCAAGCAAACATGGGGCACGCTCACACCCAGAATCGTCTGCCCCTGCACCGCAACTAGTCTTGCAGCATCCCTTTTCTTGCCGTGCGTGATGTGTTTGTGCTTGTAGAAGCAGTCTCACGCGATACCTGTCAACCAATTCGAAGCTATTCTGATGTGACATCACAGTTTCTTTCAGCTTTTGTAGGCCTCGCTGCCATCGACAGGAAAAGCCTGATAGCAGGGTTCCTAAAACCTGTGCGGGTCCTGTGTCCAGTTGGATTTCACAGGACTCCGAGACAATAAACCCTAAATCATAAGCTGTATTTTTCAGAGTAAGGGGAGACTGGCAGGTTGTGGAGCCGTCAACGTGAAAGCCATGTGCAGCCTAATTTTGTTAGTCATGCGGCAGCGCGAGTGCGACAGGGGGAGCATATTGACATACGTGCATGCCTTGCACATACATAACACAAATTACAAACGGATCTTTCTGGTACATCTTTCGCATGTTTGCGCCGCCCGCCCCCCCTAAAAGAAATCCTGAACCCTTGGACCCTTAAGAGCTGGCCCCATAAACCCTGCGCTTGTATTTCGGTGTTGAATTACACTGAAGCCCTGGTTCCGCCTGGCAAGGAGTCGCAGCCCCCAAGGCCGCAGCAGAGGCCTCACAGTTCTGCTCTATCCCCCCTGTGTCGTCTGGAGGGTTTAGAGATTTTGGGTTTGGGGTTTAAGCAGTTTAGGGTCGAGAGTTTGTTTTGGAGTTTATACGATGTATACTCGAAGCCATATCGCTTAGATCGTATCTCGCTTGAACGGCGGACTGATCTCAAACCTCACCCCTTTCGAGACCCATGACTTCATTAAGCATATAGAGAACCGGTAGCATTGTATATGAAGCCATGCAACAGGGGCCGAACCCTATACCATGTGAAGTTTCATGTAATGTAGCAGAAGCCCACCCTTAAGACCCCGTTGAGATAGCCCTAAACCCGCCCCTGCCTTTCCCACCCCACTCACTAATTGGCAGTAACCCCAGCCCTGATCTCCGACGCTGGTTCCCACCGAGCAACCGAACAGGAGAACTTTAACACGTCCAACAGTGGCCAAGTTTTAAAATGTTTACTGTCGTTGTTTTATTTGTCTTTGAATTTTATGTGTATCATTGCTACATGTTTATTGTACATATGTATACAAGGCCCCTTGATTTCCGACAGGTGTCAGGTGGCTACGCAACGGAGGAGCCTGCTCCGGCTGTGGCCGGTGCTTGAGGGCGCCACCGGGGACGCACTTGTTCCTTAGGGTGTAGAGTTTTGTAGAGTTTTTTTGGGCTTCGGGTTTTGGTTTCAGGGTTGGTTTATACGATTGAGGTGATTGGGGTGCTTGGGACTGTGAACTTCGAACATGATGGAGCTGAGTTCTACAGGGAATTGGTGATGAACTTGTTAAATAGACATGTACATACTACCACATGTAGATCTGAAGAATGGTGGGATTCTAGGAGAAAGAACAAGCACAGCAAAATAAATAGTAACAAAGAAGAAGAAGTACTAGTGCTGGAACGTGTAGCCATCATACTGGTATACTTTCAACTACTTTCAACAAACCTTTAGCCCTGAACACACACAGTGGTTGTAATTGGTGCCCGGGGGATGTTTGCGGCTGAACTCTTTGGCTGACATCCTTCGTACTGCATTACCATAGGGCGATGAATAATTACGTATGACCTCCCCTTATAGTCCCTCTCCCTCTCTCTCTCTCTCTCTCTCTCTCTCTCTCCCCATGTACATATATATATATACACACACATATCTACACGTGCGTGTGCATGTATGCATGCATGCATGCATGTATTTACGTCTGTGCAAATGCATGTGTATATATATATATGTACGTGTATATATATATATATAGATATACGCGGCTGTATGTATGTATGTATGTATGCATGCATGTATGTATGTATGTATGTATGTATGTAGGTATGTAGGTATGTAGGTATGTATGGGTATATGTGTGTGTGTAAGTATGTAATGTAATGTAATGTAATGTAATGTAATGTAATGTAATGTAATGTATGTTGATCGGGTATGGTATGGTATGGTATGGCATGGTAGTAGGGTATGGTATTGTATGTATATATATATGCAGACATACATAGATGTATACACACACATTGGATTGTTTATTTGTACACGCGGCAAATCTCCCAAGCCCTGATGCATCTTGTCGCAAGCCGGTATAGTCGGCCAGGGCACCTCTTATTGTAACATTCACGCATCTTGGGTAAACCTTGGACTCTATAGACAGCGAGCCTGGACAGAACTTGGCTAGCCGTGCAAACGTTGCCCCGAGAGCTTCAAGATCTGGAATTCAAGGACTGGGCTTTTTGAGGTAGGACTAGATGGATACGATGATGGGCTTGTGTTGTGTCACTTCGTCTTCTACTTGAAGGCCCATGGGTGGCTGGAAGTCATGAGGGCTACAACTACCGTCCTTGTGTTATGACTTGTGGTTGACGGTTTGTGGCTTAGAGCAGGGCCTGGGACTCCCTGGCTGTCGTAACTTCCTTTCGGGGCCAAGGACCAGGGACAACCCTTGGGCAAGCTGACGATGATGCGAAGACTTTTTTCCCCAAGAGTTGACTTTTGAGAGTTGTGTTGACTGGGAGATAGGTTCATGCCAGCGACATCACAGTGAATGGGATGTCAGCTGGCCCCTGCAAAGGATCGGATCCAGTCCTTGGCAGAGAACGAGTTTTGCAAGTCAACCAAAACTTTCAGCAGAAACCTCGATATGTTTAGCACAGGTTGCAGCAGTCTGCTAACTTGTTCCCAGTCGCAACAAGTTTCTGCGCTGTGCACCATGCTGAGCCAGCAGGCCAGCACTGTTTCAGGAATTTGGGGGTGGGCTACGGAAGACGCCGTTGCCTCTCACCTCTATCCACTTTCACCCGACTCGGGGCAGAAATGAGAGCTCTAAGCTGAGATGTTGAAGGAGTTCAACAGGGCTTAGGGAGTTTATGGTGAGTGAGCGCCATAGACTTCTCGCTAACACGTTTTTGCTCCGGGCTTGAGCCTGCGAAATCCGCCTTTTCCACGATTTAAAACGCAGACTCCCAGTATACTGATCTGATCCATGTGATGCTGTTCGAGCTGGTTTATGCACAAGCAGGCTGACAAGGGTCTCCTTTGTTGCTAGCTTCCATCAGCAGATTGCACTAGACGGTGCCCCTTCGTTTTTTGGACAAGCCCTAGGCTGCAACTAGGGAATCTATCAGCTTCTGCAACTCTTGCTAGCCGTGCTACCAGAAAGCTGCCGGTGAAGGACCGGCACGGACCTGCGGCAGAAGTGTTCTCGACTCCTAGCACAGGCATTCTGCCAACTTAACGGCCCAATTTTTCCTGGCGCTGCCATCCCACTGCTCAGTGCAAGGCACAAGGGCTCCTGCTCCATGTTCGTGTCCAAAGTGCACGGGCCGCTCGAGGAATACCAAAAAGAAAAGTCAAATCATTGATTCTGCATTATTCCCCAAAGGGTAAACCCGAAGCGTAAACTAGCATAAGGGCCTGAACCAGTTCTGGGGGCAGGCACACCACCAACCTGCCAACAACAGACAGCGCATCTACGCTATGTGCGCTTGTTCACGACGGTGCCGCCGCCCGCAACTGGCTCAAGTTGCTGCGCTTGTCCGTCCAACAGGAAGAAAGGCCGTATGTATGCATGTGTGTATATACAAATATAAGTATAAATGAATAATATATACAATAAATAACTATAAATATAAATATAAATAAGTATATATATATATATGATAATGTGTGCGTGTATGTATATGTGTATATTCAGACATCTTGTGCAAAGGCATAAGACTGCAAGCTCGCATCTGACAATCTCTTCGGAGGGCTGATGCTACCTACCCTCTGAACCCCAAGCCTCAACAGCCTTAACCCATGCCAGGCATATATATATATATATGTGTGTGTGTATGTATACATATATATATATATATGTAAACATATATATATA